CCGAACTCCTTACCTTGTTTTTTAAGTCTTCGGCACTTCCGCGCATGTGCAGTGCCTGCGCGACACTCCTCTAAGCAGCTGGAGCGTTGCAGGGGCTCGCGGAGACACTAAGACACATGTGCGCGTTGCACGTGTCCCTGTGGACGCCGCCGGGCCTGTTCCAACCATACCGGTTGGAACGGGGTCCAGAAGCCACCAGTGACTTGAACCCAAGTTTCAGTTTAACCACCATATCACATTGACTTTCTTTGTATAATGCTCTAATTCACTGATTTATTTAAATATATATATATGTCTATATTACCTTCTACCGTAAGTGCTGTTCCACCAAACTCCACAACGCCAATTAACTTGCCTTCAATTTTACCATCCTTATAGACAAATATTGTAGGCAAGCAATTATCATGATAGTTTTCAATACAGCTCTTGGCAACGGCTTTCACAAACTTGGTTTCTGGAAATTTTACGGCTAATAGACTCAGGTGTCTGTTAACCAATGCACACATTGGAATACTAAAGGAGGAAGAGGAGGAAGAATTTGATTATTAATCTCCAACAGAAATATACAATATAATAATAATAATCTTTGTTATGATGAATTTGAAAACACTGAATTAGTGGAAACTCTGTCAATTGCTTATAAATCCACATATGTAGTTTATAAATATCTGTCTTTTTTTTCCCAGTTGTCTTTTTACCTTTTAGTATTAGCAATAGCACTTAGACTTATATACTGCTTCATAATGTTTGACAGCCCTCTCTAAGCGGTTTATAGAGTCAGAAAATTGTCCCCAAAAATCTGGCTCCTCATTTTACCCACCTCAGAAGGATGGAAGGCTGAATCAACCTTGAGTCTGATGGGAATCAAACTGCTGGCTGTGGGCAGAATTAGCCTGCAATAATGCATTCTAACCACTGCTCCACCACAACTCTCAACAGATACACTACATTTCATTTAAAATGGATTGTGTTGCATTAGGCTGGGGTTTCATTGAGTTGTGATATGGCAAGCTTTAATTTCATACAAGCAAAAGCTCATCACATTTTATTATTTCAAACAAAATCCAGACTCACAAACAGGATCTTCTACAAATTGCCCTATGTTTGTGTTTAAACACCATTATACATTCTTGGCTATGTGCAATTTATGTATTTCTGTGTCAGTTATAAGACATCCTGATACCTGTGTATCTCTCTTTCCCTCTCTCTCATTCTCTCTCTCTCTCTCCCTCCCTCTCTCCCTCTCTCTCTCTTCGCGTGCACATGTGTGCATATGATTTATGATATAATGTTAAGGGAAGTTTGGTTCAAAATAATTCTAAGCACACCACGGGCCACAAGTTTGACACCCCCGCTCTAGATCCTCTAGATCTACCTCTCCAGATAAGATTTGGAGATACACCAGAAAGTGAAAGTGGGGGAACAGGGAATGTGTGTGTCCCATCCTTGCATGCCTTTCTAGTAGCAGAATGACTATCAGGGTGTGAAAAGATCTACTGTATTTACAGTATGAATGTTCTAACACACACACCACATACATACTCACCAGAGGTGGGTTCCTACCAGTTCGCACCCATTCGGTAGAACCGGTTCGTCAAATCTACCGAACCGGTTAGAAGAGGTTCCACCAGTGGACCCG